CGTCAGGCTCAGGGCCCAGCGGCCTCTGCTGCGGTGACGCTGGCCTGAGTGGTGCCCGCGGCAGGGACTCCCCTCGGCCCTGACCGGGGGGCGCTGCGGGGCTGCTCCCCTTGGCCTTCATTTCAAGGTGTCCAGGTTCTGTCTGGAGTGCCCGCACGTGGTCTGGAAGAGAGGGGCAGGCGGCCAGACTGGCGCGCCCCCAGGGCACCGACTGCCCACCCAGGGGGGAGGCCATGCAGATGCGCCCTCCTTGCTGCGCCACTGTCCTCTGGCCTGGCAGGGCCAGCCACAGGGCCAGCGGGGCCCAGGGTCCAGCCTTCATGCTGCAGCGACACCAGTGTGCCTGATGGGCCTGGTGGGAAGACGACGACTCAGTTTGGTATTTGGGGACACATATTTTAGGATAAACAAGCCACTCCAAGGTCTTGGCCTAGAACCCGTGACCGCTGGGCTCCTCGGCATGAGCCCGGCCACGTGAAGGACACCGTTCTCGGGAGCCCCTGATGTGGTCTGGGGTTTGCGTCCCCAAGTCAGAGGCTGGCGGCTGCTGTCCCACAGGTGGCCGAGTGGCTAACAGCTGCACCCACGTCGGGGAAGGCTCGGTCAAGGGGGCAGAGTCTTGTGAGGGGTCCCTGGGTACTGAACCTCCGGCCTTTCTGCCCAGCGGGGCTTCCCGAGCCTCTCCCAGGCCCCAGGCCCCGGCAGACTGCAGCCTTCGGGGGCTGCCTGGTTTCCTTCTGGGGGGCCTTGAAGACTAATCCCCTTAAAGAGGAGGCCCCAGAGGGGCAGGTCCTGTTTGGAGCTGCATCTTGCCCCCCGACGGGGGCGGGGCTCCCACAGCCCCCACCTCGGACCCTGCTCCTTGGAGAAGCCCCCTGCTGGGGTCTTCAGTGACCTCCTGCAGGAGCTGGCCCTAGCCTGGCCGCCGGTGGGCCTCTCCGCCGGTGGGCCTCTCCCCTTGGCTGTTCCTGCTGCTCCCTCCTGGAAAGAGGGTTGCTCGGCCCCGGGGAGCCCACGCCTGTCCCACCTGGGCTTGTCTTCGTGCCAGCAGCCCCATGTCCGGGCTACTCCGGGGGCAGGCCTGGCCCGGCGGGGGCAGTGACTGCAGGCAGGTGCCCCCCGGCCTGCGCCAGTCTGGCCCTCCGGCCCACGGTGCCTGCAGGGCCCGCCGTCCTCTCCCCAGCCACCCACCCGAGAGCAAGCCACCAGGCTTCATCTGGACATGCCTGTGTTTGGGGTTTTTTCCGTACTTATATGGGCTCGGGGCAGAAAGGGGTGAACTTTAGCAAAGCTCTAGACCCAATTAGCAAAATTGACTTCAGAAGTGCCCTTAGCCGCTGGTCTGTCTGGGAGGTCCATGGCCAGGACATGACGGCCCGTTCTGGAGGAACGGCCCCGCTCTGGCCCACTCAGGCCTCCAGGTATGCCACCGCCCAGTGCCCAGGGCAGCAGCTGGTGACCCCAGATCCGCCTGGCTAGGGCTGACCGCCACGGCAGGGAAGCTCAGGACAGCAGCTGGGTGCGTTATTGCAAAATAAATTTATTTGAAGATAAACTCTTATAAAAGGTCAGAGGCAATTTGAGACCCCAGATTCAGCTTGTCTTGTAAATAGATTCAACTTCGAGTAGCACAATTTCGCGTCTGCTTTTAATCCTGAACGTTCTCCAATCACGAAATAGCCAACTGTTTACACGACACACTCAACGTCTGACTCCAGCACCAGTGGATGGACGGCGTCCAGCCGGGGGCTGCGGTGCTGGCCCTCGGCCTCAGGCGGGCCCGGTCCAGGCCGCTGAAGCCCCGGCCCGAGGCACAGACGGGTCCCGGCACCCAGCCCTCCCCTCCCCGGCGCCTCCAGAGCGAGGACAGAGGCAACCCGCCGGGGCAGGCAGCGGCCGGGCGGCCAGGCTTCCCGGCGGCCCCTGGCAGGCCAGCCGGCCGAGGAGCCCGCACGGGGCCTCCCAGGACCTCCCTGCTGCCGGGCAGCCCGGGAGGTGGCAGCGGCTCAGGCGGGGTGGCGCTGCCTGCGCGGGAGCTACGTGATGACCCGGGCGATGGCCTGCAGGGAGGGGAAGTCGTCGTCCCGGGCCGCGTGCCGCGCCTGGTG